TTTTGCACCCCCTTCTTCTGCGATTGTTTAATGGCACCAACTATTTATCTCAGGGTGTCTAACCTTTAATATTCGAGCCACTACCCAATTTCTATCAGCATCTATTGACATTAAAGTCATGGGTTTGGCGGTGAAGTACAACACCACCGGGCTGCTGTGAACATATTTTGGTTTCTAGCCAAATGAGAATGGGATGACCAATAAGGGGCAATCAAAGGTGCTAATAACACTCATCTAAAACTATAAAATGAACAAAAAAGATGATTGAATTGATTATTATTTTTGTTATCTGTATGACAACTGTCAACTAGAACGTCAGGATTGTGATGGCCCTGCTTAGAAAGATCCATACAGCATTGCATCTGGAGGGTTAAAAGGTTATGCAAGTAAAATCGTCTTCTTCCAAGCAGCAGCAGCAGCAGGACAGAGTGCTGCTAATACTCCTGAAGTACAGAGCAGGCAGCGACCACCGCCGCTGAATATTAAAGATGGACTCAACATTCAAGGTTCCATTCTTCTCCAGACTTTATCCCCACCCCCCAAAAAAACACCCTCAGAAACTTCACGGTGTCGTCACAGATGCTACGACGTCGTGAGCCGGCACAACAAACACGCCGCACTCACAGCTGAAATGATTCATTTACCAAGTCCTGGCTCTGCTGTAACCTTTGCGAGAGGTTAGATTTCTCCTGTCTGTGCCTTTCAGCAGCGTCTCTCTGAAGCTCATGAATGGATTTCTGTCAAATTGGCCTGAGCAGACAGGCTTCGTGCCAAAGAGCAGTTAATTAGATTTCAGCAGTGATCTGGATCTCGGATTTCCGCCATCAGATGATAATCCTTTTTTTAGTCATAACAAAGATAAAGGCTTGACTCTAAATCCATAGGATATGTTTGCACAGTCAAGGAACCACTTTGAATAAAAAAATGTACGAGGCGGGAACGTCGGAGCAGCAGGCTGGAGCGTTCCGCAGATGGTTTTTGTCTGTTTTGGTGCTGAAACTGAACCAAGTCTGTCTTTATTTACTGAGCATCCTTTACGAAGTGCTTTGATACCATCATACAAATATCAAATATAAGGTGTAACGCTGCTTTTTAGGTGTTGTTTTTTCTAGTTTTTTGGGGGTTTAACAACTAAAACTACAAGCAAAGCAGCACCGTCCTCCAACAACACACACATAGAACTAAAAACACATGTAACACATACACAAAGAGTCAAATAAATTGAAATAAAATAGGAAAGGAAGTGCGATAAAAAGGCAGAATGGATGCAGCGATGGGGTCCAGAGAGAGAAAAGCTTTCACACATGAGATAATTGGCTGCCATCTTTTGCAGAAATTGGCGCATGAACCTCCTAATGAGTGTTTCACCTTTTCTAATGACAGAAAAGACATTGAATCAGTTAGCCAGGATCTCTAAAAGGTGGATTCAGGCTTTTCCGCTCTAATAGAAGACTTCCTTGAGCCGTGAGCGAAGCAAAAGTTCTTTCTTGGAGAGACTGGCCGAGATTTCAGCTCCCTGGGAAAGTGTTGGGAGAAAGCACAATATCTTCTAATATTAGACGATAATTGGCGTCCTCCAACAAACTCCGTTTGATCTTCAGAAATTATATCTGGCAGGCAGCGATCCAAACGGCTCGCTAAGATCTTGGCTCGGAGCTCTACATCCGAATTTAACAAACTCATTGGTCTCCAGCTGCTTCCATCGTCGGGGGTTCTTATCTTTCTTGTGAATAAGCAAAATTGAGGCTTGATTTAGAGTTGGGTGGAGGTGGAGGAAGTCTTGTTGAAATGAATCATGAAATCAGTCTAATAAAAGATATAAGCAAGGTGGGAAAACGTCTTGTAAAAGCCAATAGGAAGCCTGTCCTCTGACCTGTTATTTGGCATTAAATGAACCCTCTGAAGCTCCAGGCAGTTTCTGGGCGTTGTTTTTGCTCCATTTATACTCACTGTGGCTTCATGTTTCACTGCAATATGAAGTCCTGTACCTCTATGGAAACAGAACAACCACGAATACAAGAAGATAAAACTCCAAAATGCATTTTGTGCAGTTTAACACAGTGATGATGGCATTAGTCTTAAAAAAGAATAAACAAAAGTCGAATTTTCTGTCGTTCAGCCAAGTTCTGCTGAAAAGTCCCTGAATTTTAGTCACGTGACTGTCGGATGCAGTGGAGTCAGTCGTGTTGTCATGTTTGTGCCAAGGAGTGCAGAATTTTTTGTTTTTTACTGAATCTGTGGAGGGCAAATGTGTTATTTTTGGTGAAATTTTAAAGAATGTGAGTAAATAATACTTGGCAGATGCCTATCCAAGGTAGGTGCATGAACACAACACTAAATAAATTCATTAATGAATTAAATTTAAATAGATAAAATCCATTAAACTAAGAATTGTTACATTAAAAATCTGTTACCACTTAGACATAATTTTATTTTTTCTTTCCAGTTCAACATAAATACAGTAAATAAAAGTTATTTTCTGCTATTTCACTCAGTGTTATCTGTAATTTCAAAAAAAAAAAAAAACAGTTAAAAAATTAATTACTATTTTTCAGTCCTTAACATACATCCCTTGTCTTCCAAAAAATGGAAAATTCTGTTAATAATAATATTTTATGCTGGTCTAAATAGAGTAAAAATAACACAATTCAACAGTCAACGTGTAAATTAATACAATTTTCTGTGATTTTTATTAGATGCGATCTATAATTTTGCAAAATGGTGAAAATCTGTAAAACAACAGCAAATTGTTGAAAAAGTTCAAGTTAAATATGGTTCATTTTTTACACTGTTGTAGAACAGATGGCCACTAACTAATATCGCGCCCTCTTGGAGCAGAAATAATCTTGAAAAACTGANTGTGTGAAAATTACAGAACCAGAACTACTTTTTCTGTTTATGATCATTAATTGTGTCTCATTTTAATAATACATGCAGTGCTAAACTTGAATTTCCCCGTCTCATTGATAAATTAACTCAAAACAGTGAAAATCTGTGAAATCTGCAAATTGTTGAAAAGGTTGCAGTTAAATATGGTTCATTTTTTACAGTGTTGTGCAACTGACGGCCACTAGCTAATATTGCGCCCTCTTGGAGCCGAAATAATCTTGAAAAACTGAGCAACCCAAGTTTTAAACATTCTGTACGACCTGTTGTGGTCCTTTACACTCACAGAGGGATTCTCATGAATGAAAGAAATGTCGGTGTTCAGACCCTTCAGGTGTGAAAACTGTATCTGGGTTGCTTTGAAACCCTGATGATGATGATTTCTTTTTTTTCCCCAAAACCTCTTTCTTCTCTCTTAGGATCTAGTGACAAAAAAAGAAGTGGGGGAAAAAAAAAGCCCTCTTCCTCTTCTCTCTCGGTTATCGATTTGTCTTCCCAGAGCAGCCACAGTGTGGTGCCCGCTTGGAGACAGCGCGGCTGCGAGGGGGGTTGCCATGGCAACGGGTAGCCACGTAGTCATGGCGGCCGTTCAGGGCAGGGTTTGGCGGTGGCGGTGGCGGTGGCGGCGGCGGGGAGGTGGAGCAGAGGTGGAGGTGGTGAGGGGAGGGATGGGCAGAAAGCACTGGCAGACTATTAATAGAGCTTATCAGGAGCCAGCTGCAGAGAGCTTCAGTCTCACGGCACCTCGTCACAGACGTCCTGATCAAACACACACTGTTTGTTCTTCGTGTGTGTGTGTGTGTGCAGCAGCGTGCACGTGACTGTACGTGCGTGTTGTCGTCAGAGTGTGTGTGCAGCGTGTGTGTGTGTGTTTCCACAGCCCATTACTGAGATGGACTGCTGTGTTTGTTTGTGTCCGTCGGGTTTCCCTCAGAGCTTCATGACGTCACCGCTTCTGCTGCTGATGTCAAATACGATGATTTTAAGTAATTTACATCAGAAATTAATTCCAATAACAGTAATACGTCCCTCAGTTTAGGAAACACTTTTTGAGATTTTAAAGTTTATCAAAAACAATATAATCTGAAAATACTAGCATCATAGTGATCATTTCTGATAATCATTTATAATAATCATTTTATTTTTATTTTTACGTTAAGCTCCCTCTCTGGTTGTTGATATAAGCCCTAAAAAAACTCACCTTTGTTTATCAGAGTTAGATATTTTAAAGTTTTTTTAATCAAAATAATCCCCTCCTTCCCTAATATGGCTTAGATGACACTGCAGCTTGAGCACACCTACTCACCTACAACTCTGCTCAAACAATAATAATGATTTGGAATATTGGAGTAATTCAGGCATTCATGCACAGTAAAAATAAAATAATAAAATATTGAAAGAGAAAATAGTAATGTTTTGACAGCTAGGACGCCTAAAAATAAAATAAAACAAAACAAAATGCAGCAAAATAATAGTAAATACCATCTAATAAAATACAGTAATTTTCTAGAATTAGCATTTTTTTTAAAAATTGAAATTACCTCCACTATATAATACAGGTAGATAATTTACACTAATTAAAATGCATTCATTAACTTCTATAATGCAATTAAGTCTTTGTGAAAGCTACAGAACCAGAACTACTTTTTGTGTTTACTGCCATTAATTTTATCTCATTTTAATAATACATGCAGTGCTAAACTTGAATTTCACCGTTTCGTTGATAAATTAACTCAAAACGGAGAAATTCTTGTGAAATTCAAATTTTAAGGTTATTTTCAGGTCACAGCTGAGTCATTAATGGCTTCTCAGAGTGTTTTATTACTGAATGTAGTTACTGCAACAGTTTGTTTTTGAGCTATTTTTTAAATGTTAAATGAAATGATTTTAATAAATATCACATCTTTAAGCTTAGATTTGACTAATTTTTAAGATGAAACCCAAAATCCTGCCTGATAAGTTCAAGGAGTGTCAAAAAAGTTGAAAAATTCTGTGATTTTTTTCCTCTTTTTTACTGTTTCTGATAAATGGTGTAATTTTGCTGTTTTTTTTAAGCGTTAAGCCGATAAGCTTGTGTAACGTTCCCCTCCTCTTCCTCTTGCTCTCATCTGCAGGCATTGCCTCCATGACGGTGCCCGTGTACATCGCCGAGGCCTCGCCGCCGCACCTCCGAGGTCAGCTGGTGACCGTCAACACCCTGTTCATCACCGGGGGGCAGTTCACCGCCAGCCTCATCGACGGCGCCTTCAGCTACCTGCAGCGCGACGGCTGGAGGTCAGACGTCCGCTCTGCACTCAATGTGTGACAAAAACCACCTCCCACGGTTCACGCGTAAACTCCCAAATGCCACTCGTGTGTTAAAAAATATAAATGAGACACATATCGTCACATATGATCGCAGCGTCGTCTTTTCTTGGGGTTCTTATCAAATGCCAGAAAAAGTCGTCCAGGCTCAGACCCCTCATAGAAAATGTCAACACATGCGCGGGTCAGCCCCTAACATTTACCCAGAGCATTGGAAAGCTACTTCTTTCCACTTTTTTCCATCGGTTACTCGTCTTTTCTGTCTTTGCAGCCTCCAGATCGTTCGAATATCGAGCCGCGAGATCCCGCAGATCCCAATCGCCCCCTTTTTGAAAGCGTCGGTCTCAGCTGCGGCTCTGCTAAACATGATGCTTCAGAAAGTCCCAGATTGCTGTGATTCATACATGATAATGGCTCCTCGGAGACGCTTATTGAGTTTAGCGTATGAATGTTCTCTGATTGACGCAGCTGCCCGCGAAGCAGAAGAAAAGCTTAATGTGTCTGGCTGTTTACTTCAGCCTCTGACAATCTGTCATTATTACAGTCGTCTCTCTCCTCATTCACCTTCCTTCTTCCCTCTTAGCCTCGCCTTACCGGCACATAAAGCTTTAGCTTCGCAGAGAAACCCAGTAAGAGAATGTGTTTAACCCTGATTAACGAGAGTGTTTACACGATTGTGCAGCGTTTGGGTCAAGTTATTCTGCCGCATTATTAAAAAAATGCTCATTTGTGTTTTCAATTTGACAAAATGGTTTGTTTGAAACCTTGTTTGCTCTCAAAACACATCCTTAAGCTGCTAAAATCTTAGTAAATGTCATGTTGGCTGCATGGAAATCCACTAATTACAATACTTTATCTCACGTAGTCGAGATTTTTTAAAAATCATTTACAAAAATTTAAAACTAAATCATGTTTTTCTGCATTTTAGACAGATTTACTTTTCTTCAGTGTTGGATTTTGGTGACAGTTACGTAAAAAATTGTTTAATTCCAGTTCTTCATTTTGATTTTTAGTAAACTTATATTTGACCGATTGGTTCCTTTTACCAGGAAATGACATAAACAGGCCGTGAAAGATGCTAAGAAGAGATGAGTTTGAACTATTTCTACATATTTCTTCCCATTTTTACGTAAAATGCGACCTCCACAATTATTTTTATCTTGAAATTGTTGCACATTTTGGAGAACAAGCAGCTTTTAAGGCAATTTCTACCATGTTGTAGGGTGTTATAATAAGACTACAGACTGACAGCAGTAGTTCTATTCGTCAATTACAAGTCGTGGCTAAAACCAAAGAGCTTATTGAGTTTAATATTAGGGTTATAAAGGTGAGGCTGCTCACAAGGTGGGTAAAGCCTGTAAAGCCATATCCAAGAGCCAGCAGCAACAATGCAAAGTATCATCCAACAACACAAGGAGGTCCACGCTGTGAAAGATCTCAAAGGGCTGGTAGGGAGTCAGAAGTGACCCAAGGAATCCAAGGATCACCAGTAAGACCGTCCTGATGAATCTGAGCAGTTCTGGTTCTGGTGGCCATGCATGAAGACCAAAGAGGACCCAACCTCTAAAAGCTCACCTGGGCAAATAAGAACGTTTTTTGTCACCAGTTGTGTGGTCACATAAGACAATAATGGAGTTGTTTGGTCACATGGGTTTCATTTGGTAAAATAGTCAGAAGTTGTTCAAGCCCAGGAACACTGTCAATGCATTCAGGCATGGGGGTGGTATCATCATGCTTCTTGGGGGTGTTTTGGAGCCAAACAACCCTGTAAAAGCAAATGAGAAAAGAAGGTGCCGTTAAGATTCAAGAGGAGAACGATGACACAACTAGTTGGGCAGCACTGGACAGTTCAGCGACACAATTATCTGAGATGATTAACAGAAAACAATATTAATGTTTTGGAGCTGGTCAGCCTGAGTCCACACCTGAATCCCATCGAGAATCTGTGGAGAAAACCAGAGTGACGACAAAGAAACCTCGACGACCTGGAGATAAAGGGGACTGGTCCAGAATTCATGCCAGCAACCTTGTCATTGGCGATGATAGCAAATAAAAGCTTTGCAACTGATTACTCGGACAAAATGAATAATTTTGAACGAAAAAAAAAACCCAAAAAGCATTGAGGTAGTTAAAGTTTATCATTAACATCTCTTGTACAATGTTTTTTCTTAATTATTTCTGTCAGTTCAAGCCAGACGAAACCCATTTTTCAAAATAAAACGTCACTATAAATAGAAATTTGGCGTGGCTGCTAATAATTATGGCTAAACCGTACATTCATGCTGCCACTTTAAAGCCGTTGGACGCTGTTTATCTCTGATTATAGGTGTAATACTCAACTGTATGCTAAGGCTGGGTGGCCCTCCTGCTCTGTAATGTGTGATTGACTGTGTTTTAGTTATTTATAAGGTCCTCACTGGTTTTACTTACAACAATGATTGAATAGCTGCTTTTACTGAGCTTTGAAAACCATTTTTTTCTCGCTGTGTAGCTGCAGAACATCCTACACCCACTCCTAAATGTAGGTTTTTAGCTTGTTTTACCTCCTCCTGTTCTTGTTTTTGTCAGTTTATTGGCTTTAAACGTATTAATACTTTTTACTGTTTGACAAATTTTGACATTTTCTTATTTGTGTTCCTACGTCTGTTTTATTTTTCCTACGCCGCTGTACTGCAAATGAGGCCTCAGCGTATTCTGAAAATGCTAAATATAAATGCTGAGGTTATTCCGAGCACACAAATCTCAATAAAGCCTTGACATTTTCCCCGGTGTTTAATTTTAATGAAGTAAACCACCCGACGCTTGCCTGCGGATAGCGCAACATAAACTGAATGTGGTGGGAGACTCACTGAAAGCTAATTCTCTACAAAAAAAACTAAACATTTGCGTGACATTGAACCTTTGCAAAGTTGTCAGCAGCAAAAAAAAACAAACAAAAAGAAAGCTGGTAGATGGTGATCACAGCTAAGCCATGTCTTCCCTCCTCCAGGTACATGTTGGGTCTGTCGGTGCTCCCCGCCGTGCTCCAGTTCATGGGGTTCCTCTTCCTGCCGGAGAGCCCTCGCTGGTTGATCCAGCGTGGTTTGACCCAGAAGGCCCGCCGAGTGCTCAGCCAGATCAGAGGCAACCAGAACATAGACGAGGAGTACGACGGCATCAAGAACAGCATCGAGGAGGAGGAGAAGGACAGCGGAGGAGGTAAGAGGAAGGAGGAAGGGGAGGAATCTGGAAACACTACACCGCTGTACGAGCAGCTGTTGGTTGTTCTTTATTGTGGAGTTTCTTTTCGTGCACAGGTGAGGCTACACAGTGTGTTTTAGTCCTGGTTGATTGAGATGGTTACTAGTGGTCACAGCAAGTGTTGGTTAATATTTCAGCAAATATGGCACAAGAGGAGAGAAACCTGCTGCAGACAAACATGTTGATTTTAACCCTCTGAACCCCAAAACAGTTCTAAGGCACATTTTCACTCACTGTGGGCTCATTTTTCACTGCAATGTAAAGTCCTGCACCTCTATGGAAACAGAACAAGCAGGACTAGAAGTAGAGAGAAAAACTAATTCTGTGCAGTTTGACAAAATGTCTCTTGCAATGC